GTTCTGTAGCTGAACTATGAATAGAACTTTTAAGGAAGCATTCGTGTACCAGTATCTGTGTGATACATTTCCTTGAAGTTCTTCAAGGTTGTGTCTAGGAGGGGAGAGCTGGCTTATCTGGTAGGTGTATTTTTGGTTTCTGAAGAACTGCCATACTGATTTCATAGTTACTGGACTAGGGTAAAGTCCACCAGCAGTGAATGTGTCTGCTTTTGTCCACCTCCTCCCCAGCATATTTTAAAAAATTATTTATGTATTTATTTATTGACAGGGTTTTTCTGTGTAGCCCTGGCTGTCCTGGAACTTACTCTGTGGACCAGGCTACCCTTGAACTCAGAGATCTGCCTGACTATAAAGTGTTGGGATTAAAGGCATGTGCTGCCCTGCTTGGCTTGTTTTCTGTTTTCTTAACGACTATCATTCCTGATGAGATGAGATGAAATCTCAACATAGTTTTAATTTTCATTTATCCTGTGAATATTAGAGCTGAACTTTGCTTCATGTTAACTGACCATATGCATTTCATCTTTTGAGAAACTGACTGTTCCTTTCATCAGTCTATTTACTGACTGGGTTGTTTGATTTCTTGCTGTTTTGTTTCTTGAGTTCTTAATATATCTTAGATACTAATCCTTAATATATATCTAGCTAAATTTTTCTCCCATTTTGTAGACAGACTCTTTACTTGATTAACTGTTTCCTTTGCCATGCAGAAGTTTTTAATTTCATGAAATCAGTCCATTGGTTTTAAACATTTCCTAGTAACTGGGGTCCTATTCAGAAGGGACCTATGGGAGAGTGAGATGGCTCCAAATGTCGTTTGCTGCCAGGACTGGTGACCTGAGTTAGATCCCTAGAATCCAGGTGCTAGAAAGAGAGAACTCCTACAGGTTTTCTGCCATCCATACTTCCACATCTCTACACATTTGTGGCACAGGGATGCATGCACACATACAGAACAAAGGTTTTCACAAGTAAGTCTTTCCCTATGCACATATCTTGAATTATTTTCCCTACTAACAGTTTCTGATTACTGGGTCTCATATTACTATTATTAATTATTGTTATTTATTCATTTGTAGTTGATTTTTAAGCAGGACAAAAGATAAGTACCTAATTTCATTCTCTATATGTTATTCAGTTTTGCCAACACCATTCATTGAAAATGTTGTTTTTCCTTCAATGTATATTTTTGGCATATTTTTCAAAAATCATGTATTTATAGGTAAATGGATTTATATGTAGGTCCTCTACTTTTTCTTGTTGTTTATGTCTGGTTTTATACCACTAACATGAAGCCCTCAGATGAATTCCCAGCACCACGTAAACTGTGTGTACAGACAACCAGACCTGTCACCTCAGCACTGGGAGATAGAGGCAGGCTGATGGTAAATTCAAATTCATCCCGGGATACAGAACCATTTGAGGCTGATCTGGGTTAAAGACACTTTCTAAAAACAAACAAACCCAACAAAATAAACAAGAAATAAAAAATGGACTACGTTTATGTAACAGCTTAGTGGCTGTGTTTCAGGGGCTTCATGGGTTATAAAAACTGCTTTTAAAACTGCTATGTGAATTGTGACTTTACAATAATGAGACTCAACCATCAAAACAAACTCAAGTGTGACTTTGCGGTAACCTGTTATACATATGAACAATAACATTACTTACAAGGTAGAAAACATTTAATTTGAAGTGTGATATACAGTTATATCAAAGAAATTATTGACTTCATTGTGGGTTTTTTGTTGTTGTTGTTATTGTCCTATTTTTAGTCAGAATCTCAGGGTATTCTGAAACATACTATGTAGCAAAGGCTGGCCTTGATCGACTAACTGCTGGCTCCTCTTCCTCCTCCTGAGTTACAGGTGTGCACCATGTCTGACTGATATTCTTTAAAGTCTGATAGTTTCCTGGACTGCACAAACTATTAATCAGATGAACCACAGATACAGTAACCTTGCTGACATTTCTAAAACCAGCTTATTAGTCAGGACTTTCAGCAGAAGTTGAGGTCTTAAGTAACTCGAGGGCCCAGACTACTTTAGGGAAGGATAGAAGTCTATGGTTCCCGGCACTTGAGAGGCTGAAACAGAGAGGCTGGTGTGAGTTCAAGACCTGCTTGGGCTACACAGGAGAACACTGTCTCAAAAACCAAAAGCCGTAACAAAAAGCAGACAGTGCCAAGACAAGCAAAGTTCCTTTTCTAGACTGCCCCAAAGCTGAGTTGTTTTTTTTTTTAATGATCTAGCCTGTTTTTTGGTTCTCAATTCATGACAAAGTAAACCTTATTTCCCCCCAAGCTCTTCAGTACTTTATGCTTCCCCTTTACAGCAGTCACTTTCAGATTAAACTTCTCAAATGAAATATGCCTTCTCCTCACACCAGAATGATTCTGCCTCAAAAGAAACTACCAAATAACTTGAAAATGGATTTAAATGGTAGAGATTTCTGCATGGGCTGCATAACAGTGACTCGTGGATAGGTCCATGTACAGGTGCTTACAAAACTGGGAGGAGGGAATTCTTTGCTGGTTTGAGATTGGTCTGGCAACAGCCCTGTATCCTGTCTCTGCCCAAACTTCTCAGCTCCACTGGACTAACCTTTGGACCCCTATGTTCACCTCTGCATATTCTAATTTTAACAAGAATGCTGGTCTATTTAAGGAGAATCTCCCTCTACATCTGACCAACATTGATAGTCTCCATTATAACTGCCCTTCCACCCTGAGGGCTCACCCTGGCTTACCATCATTGGAAATCCTGTTAGTTCAGTTTAGCATGTACCTTCTAGGCAATTTTCTATTCGGTGACCCTCAGACTGTCCCTTGGGCATAAATCTTCATTTGTCACAGTGCTCTCTTCAACTATGACACCAGCCCCACATTGAATAGTCTTTTCTTACCATCTTCCTTAAGTGCACGAAGAATGTCTAGTCTTTGTGCAGGACAATCTGTCCCCTAAACCCAAACATGTCCTTGAAAGGATACCAAGAATCTGAAGTCAGTTAATCCCAACACTCGGGAGGCAGAGGCAGGAGGATCTCTGTGAGTTCAAGGCCAGCCTGGTCTACAGAGCAAGTGCCAGGATAGGCTCCAAGGCAATAAAGAGAAACCCTGTCTCAAAAAACAAAAACAAAAAAACAAAACAAAACAAAAAAGAATCTGAAATCAGAAGCTATAGACCTAGGGTTGTAGACATTTCACCTGGAAAGAACCAAGCCAGCAGAAGAAAAGATGAAAGATGGCCTTCATAGAGCTTCAAGGCCCCCCCACCTGCTTCTCAGGGAGTAGGTGCTTCACTCCCATTGAGAAATAAACCATGCATCTTTTGAAGTTAAGTCACATCAATCACTGGTTTGTAGACACTGATTAACTGCCTCTCTCAACAAGAAGGATAAGTTCTCTTAGCACAAACCAAACCGGTTTTTCAGGTCATGAATTAACCTGTTTATTGCCAAACATTTTTTTGTTTTTGTTTTGGTAATAAGATCAGAGAAATAATGTGTTCCAAGTGATGACTGAATGGGAAAAAACCCCACAAACACAAAAGAATGATTATCTCTTGGCTGTACCTCTGATGGAAATCCTTCAGGTCTTCACCTAACAATCTAGAATGACTGCTCAAAGCACAGAGGTGCCCAAGGATTGTAGAATTTGCTAACTCACAACCTGCACACATTTGGCAGCCATTTGACTCCATTTGAGAAATTCAAGGGATTAAGGTAGTAGGGATTGGAAGATTGGTGCATGCTTGATGCTTGGGAGAACTGTCTAATATTCCATGTGGAATTTCCCTTGTAAACTTAACATGCCTACGATTCACTGTGAGAGCTTACTAAATTATTAGAATCCTACTTCTGAGTGTATGACAGATCCTGAGATTCTTCATTTGTAACAACAATCTGGCTGATGAAGACACTACTGTTTTATGTATCATATTTTAGAGTAATATGGTACTAAATGATGCTTAGTCTCAACCTGTCAATCTGAACCCACATTCCATGAAATGTTGTCTGCACTCTCCACCATGTGATGCCTCTTCTATTTCTACAGTTTTTTAAAATTTTATTTCTTTGGGAAGGGGGACAAGCACGTGCTAATGACAACCTGAAGGATTCACTTCTCTCTTAACATCACATATGCCCAAGTTTAAGATATCAGGCTTGGGGGCAGTTACCCTTACTCCCTGAGCTGTCTCACTGGCTCCAGGCTCTCCTACTGTTAATCTAGACTTCAGCTACACAAGATCATCCATGGCTCTATCCTATGTGTACATTGTCATTAGATTACTCGTTAGTGGACTGACCATACAGGAATGTCCTTTTCGGGAACCACAGGAATTGCTTTATTAAACTTAAAACAAATTTAAAGACATTAAGCAGAACAAATGGGAAGAGGGGGAGATGACTATTCCATACGTTCAAAAGTGAAGGTAAGCATGCAAGCTTTCTCACTCCTTTGACACATGCACAACATATTTTAGGCAAAAATAGCAAGTGGAATTTACAGGCTGGAACTTATTTGTGGTGTTGCACAAATAACCTATCCAGTTCTGCCACCTGGATCCCTGCCCAAACAGGGAGCAGTAATGATAGCTTATATTTTTATAACTACAAAGTACTAACACTTGCATTATCCCTTTAATCCCCAGAGTAACCACCTGAGATGCTGGCGTTATTCCTACTTTACAGGTGAAGTAACAGAATCTTAGAGGCTAGATGCCTAATTTCCCAGACAGCATGCAGCAAACCTTTAATTGAACTCCAAGTTCTAGAACCTGCATCCTTTCCTAGCATCCTACATGGCTATGGTACTTCTCAGGCCGGGGTGAAAGCTGAACTCCCTGGGAGGGTTTATAGAATGCTGATACCCAGCTCTCTCTTTGCAAATGCTCTTAGGCAATTGGAATTGGGAGTGACCTCTGTATCAGGATTGCTAAAAGCTTCAGGATAAGCCTCTCCACAGAAAGACAGACATTAGACAGTTTGTGGTGGGGGGCAGATAGTTTTTATTTCAGGATGTCAGATCCTGTAGGATGTTGACTAGCATCTCAGGCTTCTATTTTCTAGGTTTTATAACCAATGTCTTCATACATTGCCAAATATTCCCTGCAAGAAAAAAATCACCTAGCTGAAAACATTGCTTATTTATCCCACTGATACCCTTTTCTTAATGTCATAAACATCAGGATCCATGGAGTTTTACACTACTGTGTTTATTGGATCATTAATCTTCATGAGAAGGCTTTGTTCATCTCTAAGCTTTTAACATAGTCAGCTCTTTATTGGGTGAACTATGCACAGATGTGTACCATTATTTTTTCTGATACTGCCTGGTGGGCCAACAGATTTGAAAGATGTAACCCAGAACTACACAGTCAATCTGAAGAGAGAGTAAGGTTGATCCAGACAGTTAACAAATGCCTCCAGATAGTTCTTATCATGAAGGAAGGTTAGGAAGAGCTTGAGAAGGGTAAGGAGTAAGGGCTGAATAAGCCTTAGCTATCTCAAGAAGGCAAGTCATTGGAAAGCTACATTTTTGTAATGTGAGATCACAACTACAGGTTCATAGGAACACAGAACACAGGAGGAAGGGTTTCTCAGAGCATGGCATGTATGAAAGATGGTATCTGTCCTGAGTTTGGAAACATAAACATATCTGGCTAAAGGGGTAGGGGCTAACATGTGGATTCCAACTTCCTAAGGGTAGCAGTAGTCCAAGTCCAAAGGTTCCAGTTTCTGTGGTCCTACCTATAGTCATTTACGGAGGAAGAGTTCAGTACACCACTGTCTATTACACCACTCACCATTTCTTTTAACCTTCTGCCTTATTTTCCTCATAGCTTTTGATACAATGCTTGTATGTTGCTTCATAGTCCCCTAATAGAGAATAAGTTCTACAAGTTTGGGAACAGTCTTATTCTCTGTCAGAATCCTTGCATCTAATAAAACATTTCTCATACAAAGTAGCTGCTTATTAGATGACTGCTGAACACTGAAGAGGTTATGTTTTCTGTTAGATTCCTGTTGTTTTCTCTTGTAGGCTCAATATGCTCATCATTCGTTGTCTATATTTCTTTCTGGACTGTCAGATTCATTAAGACAGGGATGGGTATGATTTATTATCTATGCCCTGGACCAAGCAGATGGCACGTGCTTAACAACCATTTAATGAATGAACGGACCAATGAGTAGATTAGGGAATCAAAGCGGAAGGCCAGCAGTAGATATAGATGGCTTTGGTCTCTTCCACTGCTGACATCAGTGTCAGCAAATTCCAGGAATAAACTGTTCTGCTGATTATAGCCATCAGCTCTTCTAGTGACAGCAGTAACAATACAACAAATGAATTTGCTAATGAGCAATAATTCTGTGACACTTTAGGCAATAGGGAAAAAGTAAAAAAAATCCATATATTAATGACAGGCAACCTTATTGACATAACTGGTCAATGAAGACCAAACTGAAGACCTTGCAAGTCAGGTAATGGGGGAAGCTAGTCAGATTTTAGCAGAGGCAACAGAGCCCCATTTAAAGAAATAGGACACTTCATAAATATGAATGGAAGTTGTCTGTGAAATACTAGCCCTGTAGTTAACATTTGTCTGCTCCCAGAAAGCGGCATCCCATTCTCTCAGTTCCAAAAATATTTTATATCAACAATGGTATTTGTGGACATGAGTACTGATACATGCTCTGTAGACCACTATATGTGTGGTTAGTAGATAGCATCCTTGATCTTCTTAAAAAAAAGAACAGAGTTTTACAGGGTAGACATTGTTTGAGACACTCCACAATGCATTGTTTCCCTCATGCCATGGGTAGAAAATGGTATTTGCCTATTATCTTTGGATAAACAGACAATGTTATTGCACTTGCGCCTCAAGAGCAGAGGCGAACAGTACATTGTTGTATGTTGTTGAAATGTACCTGGAAGGAATTTGTGACAGCCTGCAGCTTGCTCTCAGGTGTTCCAGGTAGGCATGGTTTGCAACAAACATAGAGAAGTGGAAAGTTGCTAGATTCAGTGTACATCTTAGATATAATTTGAGCACCCACTGTGTTTCAGTCACTTCTTAGAAGAAAGAACTAAATTAACAAAACAATGAACTCTGTCTCATAGAAATACGAGTCCCATAAAGATAGAGCACAATCCTACATCTAGTCCAATAACGTGATATGAATACAGCAAAATAGAGTAGCAACTGATGGTGTTGTGGCCGAGATATGCGTGATTTCAAGCAGAGAGTCGGAGAATGTCCATCAGTGTCCCATAGCTGCTGTGACAAATCCCATAAGCTCGGTAGCTTAAAGCAACAGATACTTACTCTCCTATGTCTTTGGAAATCAGAAGTGAAAAATAGACCAGCAAGGCCACATTCCTTCTGCAGTCTCTCAAACAGAATCCACTTTTCATTCCTTTTCACTCTCGGGGGCCTTTGCCCTGTTTCTCTATATTTAAAGCCAGCAAAATTACATCTTCACATACATCTCCCCCTCCCTGTCACTCATCCTACTTATAAGGGTTTTGTCAGTATGATAGGCTCACTCTAGTAATCCAGAAAGATGTCCTAATCACGATAGCAAAACAGCATTAGTTTATCCAACTCTGCAAGGTCTATTTTTGTGAAAGGCAAAATGTTCACAGGATTCAGTAGTTGAGATGTTTGCTGTATTAGTCTGCTTTTTGTTGTTGATAACATAATAACACAGACTGGGCTTATCATAAACAAGAGTGGTTTATGATAGGTTATAGTTATGGTTCAAGGGCCTGAGGCAGTGCAAAGAATCATATAGCAAGGACAATGAATTTGTGTCTGTCTTCTTGGATCTCGCCCCCTCTGCATAAGAAGTTGTGAGTATTCATTTATGGGGGCTCTGTGTTAATGACTTTGCCTATGCTAACTAGCTCCCAGCAGCTACAGGCACCATATTTGGATTAAGTTATCTCTTCCTTAATACCACACAATGAACATTTATTATAATATGAATTATGGGGGTGAGAACATATTCAAATTCTGTCACATATGGGCATCTTTGGGGGCTATTAGTCTACCTACTACAACCCAGATGCAAAAGGAAGGGTTCATAAGGGCAAGCATTATGTGTATAACCTCAGTTACTGCTTACAGTAGCCAAGTGAATTAGTGCTGTTAACCTTATGTCTGCCTTCCTTCCTTCCTTCCTTCCTTCCTTCCTCCCTTCCTCCCTTCCTTGTCTTCTTTCTTACTCTCTTCTTCCCCCTCTCCCTCTTTCCTTCACTCCTTGCCTGTTTTTTTTCAGTGAGACAAGGTCTTACTGTGTAGCCCAGGCTGGCTTCAAAGTATTCATTCTCCTGCTTTAGTCTTCCAGTTGCTAGGGTGGCAGGTGTATTCCAGTATACCTGGTTCAATTTGCTTCACTTTCAGTGTAAGAAACTGAGGCTCAGAGATGTTGAATTCAACGTGTTCCAGGTTCACATCTCCCAAGTGGAGTGACCACCATATCCTAGAGATTTCATACCAGACCCCTCCACATTGACATATCAGCCTTCTCTGAGATTTAAAGAGGAAGCAGTGAATTGACTCCACACATCCTGATTTAGAGGAACAAGAAGAGCTAGAGAGAAAACACCCATACACTTGTGAGTCACAATTGCAGTCATGACAGCACCATAGTGTGATGCAACGCACAGGGAGCAAGGCCCAGGGAGCTGCCCTCCTGCCCATTCCCCAGGGATGACCATACCCTGTAGCTTCAGGGGAAGTACCTAAAATTAACTCAGACAACTCTTGGTCCTTAATGATTACTTACTATAAAAATAGCAACACAAAGTTGCAAACACACTTTACTATTAGGAAACTAAAGAAAGAAATTCAGACTGAAGTAAAATTTCAAAACAGAAAACAAGATTTTATGCCAATAGAAGACATTCTGTATTCACAAAAAATTTTCTGAAGCTTGCTTTATAATAACCTCTCCCAATGCATTCACATATCACACATTTTCTGAAAATTGATTGACAACCTATTTTTTTAAATAAAAGTACTGCTCACCAGGAATGACTTTATTTTGCTCTTCCTAGATTAGTTCTTTAGCAGAGAGATTATACCATGCTCCCTGCTAAGGGACTGGGAGTCCTGGGGTGATTTTTGTGTGTTGTGTCCATGGACATAAAAAGGGCACAATCATGTTTCTTTTGCTGGGTTACGTGATAAGTTCCAGGGAAGAGCATAACATTTTTTGAGGCTTCTTATTCTCAAGAAGCCTCTTCCTGAGTTCTGTGCCCAATGAGTGCAGTGCAGGTCCATTTATGGGAAGAGTCAAGCCCAGTGTGGCCAGAGTTGCTTCTAGAATAGTCCAGTTGTGTGAACTATTATACAATTTTAAAGAAAGGAGGCCTTGGCAGTTTATGGGACCTCAAACAGTGGAACCAATATTTATTCCTAGTGCACAAATGGACTTTTGGAGTTAATTCCCTATGGAGGGATACTATTTCAATTCAGATACACTGAGGAAGGCCTAGGCCCTCCCCAAAATGATGTGACAGACTTGGATGAACCCCCATGGAAGGCCTCACTATCTTTGGGGAGTGGGCATGGGGTGGGTTGGTAGGGTGCATGGGAGGATGGGAGAGAGGAGGAATGGGGGGATTGATGTGTAAAATGAGTGTTTCTATATAAAAAAAAGAAAGGAAGAAAACAGGGTGCTGTAGAAGCAGAGCCGTGTGTTCTTTCCAACCACTTTCCTGGCTGTTTAGAATAGAATCGTTAGGCATGGGAGTCAATTCTTTCAATTCTTTCATTTCTTGCATTTACACTCCCACTCACAGCTTTGAAAATTCCTGTGCGGCATCTACTTACAGTAGACAAATTGCAGAAGTTAAATGATATACATTAAATCCAAATGGGCCCCCTTCACTGTTTGTGCTTTTGTCATTTTGTCAGGAGTCGGGGACCCTACAGAGACACACATTATCAGTAAAGTTCCACTCAAGCAGGAGGCGTGCACAGTATGTGTTAGAAGTCATGAAGGCTTTCTTATCACAGCTCCCTGCTCTGCCTCAGGGCTGCCTATGCCTTTCTGCCTGCCACCAGCTCGGGTCCTGTTGCTGCCTTGTCATGTGAAGCTCCCCTCCCCAGGTTTCATTTCCATGCCCCCCATCTTGCCACTGGAGATTGTTTTCTGAACTGCAGACTGTCAATGAAGAATGGCATCCAGAGAGCCAAGCCAGGATCAGGTGTGCCTGGAGAGCTTGCCCAAGGGAGGAGTTTTGCCTAAAACCCTCTGCCAGTGAAACTGAGCAATGGAGCAGAACAAAAGTACCATGGGTGTGTGTGGGTGCACAGGCTCTGGCCCTTCGTGAAGAGGAAGTAAAAGGGTGTCCAGGTATGACATTCCATGTTTGAAGTTCCTCAATGTATCCATCTGTTAAAACTGAATACATTAGAACACACTCCAATGACTTCAGGGACTTCGGTGACTTCTAGCACAGCTTATCTGGCTTCCTGGCTTTGGCAAGATTTTTCTGGTTACCTATTGGAAGAAGGCGGGGTGACAATGAGACCACTAGTAGTAACTTAGCAATGTGCAGAGGCTTTCCATTCCTGACTTGTGAACTTGTGCCTTCTGGGTGTGTTAGTATTCAGGCATCTGTACTGGCCTGCCCTTGGGGTTCTGACAGGATATGCCCTCAGCTGCAGCCACTAAGAGCACCACCTGTGCACATTCACTACCTTCCCTTTTAAAAGGGCCCTGCCCATTTCCCATCTCCCTCTCTCCCCCTCTCTCTTCTTTTCTGCCAACCTGGTTCTAGAAGACTGTCTTCCCTCTCCTCTGCTTTCCGCATTCACTTTCCACCAATAAAACCCCCTCCACCCAAGTTCTGTTGCATGGTGTCTTTCTCTCCAGTGCAGCTTTTTAAAATTACAACACTGTACACGTCTAAACCTGGATTGCTGTGAAGCTCAAATGAGACCACGAGCAAGCAGTGACTACATTACCTGGAAACTGCTGTACAAGTATGACTTGTCAATATTAAAAACACAATAAAAAAGAAGGCACTGGCCTTCATATCATCCACAAACTTTGGGCTTTTAAAACATGACAGAGGTCTGTTCCTTCATCTCAGGTGGTCTCTATATCTATGTATGTGATTAGAAACTGCCTTGTTGTCAGTAGTATTTTCAGTTACATGATAATGTAAATGTTTAAAAGCAATTCTAGGAGCTAGTGAGACATCTTTGTGAGTAACAGTACTTATTGCATGGACAAATATACAGTTGTAATCCAGTGGTTAAGAGGTGAGACAGAAGGGTGCCTAGGGTAGAAAGCATGGGACAGACCTAGACCCCCTGAATGTGGGTGTCAGTGAGGAGGCCTAGGTAATCTATGGGGCCTTGGGTAGTATTAACCCCTGCATACAAATAGACTTTGAGTGCCCATCCCACAATGAGGGATGCTCTCTCAGCCTGGACTCTTGTGGGAGGGCCTAGAACCTGCCCTGGATGAAATGACAGACTCTGGAGATCCTCCATGGAGGGCTTCACCCTTCCTGGGGATCAGAGTGGAGATTAGGTGGGGAACTGGGGGGGCCAGGTGGGGAGTGCAGGGGGAGGAGAGGAGGGGGAGGGATCTGACATGTGAAACACGCTTGTTTTTAACTTAAATAAAAAAAAAAGGAATAGAAAAAAAAGGGTGCCTGGGGCTTGTTGGATATCAGCCTAGCTCTAAGTTCAGTGAAAGATCCTGTCTCAAGGGAGTAAGATGAGAGAGTGATATAGCAAGGCACCTGAACTTCTCTGCACACACGTGTGTGCATATACCACACTCTCACAAGCATTACAGCCAAACACCATAATCAACACATACGTATGCACCCACACTTACACAATTTAAGAAAAAAGAGCTTCTTGACTATGTTAGCTATAAAGAAAACAGCACAACCATGGAAGCTGTCACAGTTTGGATATCAGACCAAATAAGAGGGTTGGTTTCAAGTAGAATTGAGTCTGTCAGAACCAGGGTTAGACATTATTTTTTGTCTACAAAAGACTTGTTTCTTTATGTGGAAGCTAATTCTCTTAGGGCCAAGAAAGGCAGTATTTTCCCATTAGTTAGGATTTGAATGCAGCAGAAATGGCACAGATAACATGCTAACTTCAAATGCTTTGTGTTACTTAATAATAGCTGCTAGTTGCTTACTATAAATCTAATTTTAATACTTTCTGGTATTTTTGCTCTGTGAGCATTAACCTACCATTCATTTTTATTCATGTTTGTATTTTTTATATTTCCTTCTCATTGCTTTTGTTCACATTCAACATTGCATCAGTCACCAGATCAACTGAATATGCATTGGTACACCCACTTGCTCTTGAAATTCTGGTATCCAATAATGGGGCATTTCCAATGGTGTGCCCAGAATACTATGAGGTTATGTTCTATTAAAGAGAGGCACATACAGGCACATTTGAGAAAAGAGTAAGCATTTATGCTAATAAAAAAATGAGGCAAGCACAGCTATTCACTTGACATAGTAGAAGTTGAATGAGAAAAGACAGAAAGACTGCTTGATATACTGGAAATGTGTCCAGGTAATCTAGGAAATAACACAGGCTGGCACTATAAATGAGCTGAGTGACCTTTCACAAGAATTAAAATCCTGCACAGAGGCCAATCGAATATTTCTCACTTTATCGCCATAGACAGCCAAATGTGTGAGGAGACACACAGCACACATCTTTACCTTACTATTATTTTGATTTCTCTAACTTTCTCCATTAATTAGAGTGGTTTTCTCCATATGCTTAAATTCTTGGAATTTGAATAAGGAAAATGTCTTAGAGATATGATTTATTGGAGGAACACAAAATGTTCAGAACTAGTTAGTAAAGACCTCTTGAACTTTTCTTCTGTTTTCATGACCAAACTTTGAGAAAAATAGATGCAAATTCTTTAAATTCATTTCCCCAAGACTCTGAAGCCTCAGGTGCCACTATAAAAGTTGTTTCTCCATTTCCAGCTTCTGAAATCCCAAAGTCCACACTGAGTGTCATCCAGAAGCATAGAACTGGCGTATTAATTTGGTTTTCTCATTGCTTGAGACCTAGACTTAACAGCCGAGAATTTTCCATATTTTTCTCATATCCTTGAATTTGATTTACTTTTTGTAAATTGAATTTAATCAAGCTTATATGGAGGCACAGTAGGATCCTCACCCAGATTTATGTTTTTCTTTTGAAAAAAAAGGCATTCTTTGCCTGCCATAAAGAATAATGTCATTAGGCTGTGAGTTGTGGATCCTAATCTTTATCTAATCTATCAAAAATGACACGAATACACGCACGCACGTACACACACACACACACACACACACAGAGAGAGAGAGAGAGAGAGAGAGAGAGAGAGAGAGAGAGAGAGTCCCAGAGACAGAAACTGGGGTTCAAGCTGAAGATCAGAAAAGCAAAGTAGCCAGCCAATAGCCTCTTACATCTACCAACGTTGAAATGGAGAGTCTGTCTTCCCTGTGACCAGAAAATGAATCTCACATGAGACCCTTTGCTTATTCTTTTTATACCTCTCAAA